GTGATCTCCCCCAGCACAGACCTTTTAGTCCTTTGTTATCTATATGAAGATGTGACTAAAAAGACATATGTGTAACCAGCAGTACATTACATAACATGGGATGTTTTGCTTACTACCATAGGCTATTTTGTTTACTTCATGACATTATTTACCTTCTCATAGATTTCTCTTACCTCCCTTAATTATGCTGCAACATACAGGGCATTGACTGTATCATTCCATGTGTTTTTTTTAATCCCCTCAGGATTTAACAGAGATTCTCAAAGATAGTAGACATAACATTCCATAGATATTTGTGTGCAAGGCTTGGGGTGTTGCTGGCTCGCATGAAGGTGGACAGCTATTTTGATTAGTTTATTTGAACTTACCCCAGGACAATGGTCAGCGTGCTGCTAAGAGGATGTGTTGTGTTCAGATTAGAGCTAATTGAAAGATTTGACTGCATAAGGCATCCTCTGCTGAGTTCACAGGACTGTGCCGACTCTGCTCATTAGTCATCACCATTTCTTGTTTTGCAATGATGCCATGAAAAGGAACTCACTAATAGTATTGTAAAAATAAATAAATAAATGACAAAACACTGAAGAGCTAATGTCCAGTTGACAAGTACTGACACGAATCTTTAAAGTAAAGAAGATCTAATGAGTCACACCTGTCTCTTCAGTTACGTGACAAACTATCAGGAACATGCAAAATATGGTGGAAAATGTAGATCAGATCCAGGGTTTTTAATCCCTCAATGAAATCTGACGAGTTACTATGACTATCTAGAGAGCATGGATCCCAGTTCCAAAAGCTGAAAGAACTAAGTTAGCACCTATTTTAATTACACTTCAGTTGGATTGGATTTGATTCATAAAATAGAAGAATTCCAAGGTACACTGATTTCAACAGGACAGACGTTTATTACTCTCTCATGTGAAAAAAAAACTCCATGTAGGCAATCGAGAGAGATTTAGTAACACACCGAGGTCATACAGCTTATGGTAGTAGAGTCTTAAATGCATCATCTGACAGGTTAAGATGGTAACAGTATCTCCTTCATAGAGCTTCAAGGAATCAGTGCTTGGAAACCTGTACAGTGCTTTGAAAAAGCATGGCACATAGTGAGTGCTTAGTATGTTTAGTAGGTGTGGTTTATTAATGTGAAGGAGCCACAGATGAATGGTACGCTCAAACTGATAAATGGGCAGCCACTAGGGATAAATTGGTGGAGGAGAGGGTTATGTCACCTGGATCCCTACATAGTCACCTGAGACAGACTGGTAGTCTCTGACCTCTGTGAGGCTCATACACATGGTGGAAGGCAGTTGCCTTGATGTACCTCTATTCCCAGAGTTGGGGGGAAGCTCAATTCGGTTTGATATTTGCAGCCTGCATTTGGTAATACATTGAATGTCAGATAATTAGGTGGAAAGGAAATTTATTTTGACTCAGACATTCCCACCTACCCAAAAACATTTCAACAGCTCTAAACCAGAGGAGAAAACATATGGATACTCTGAAAACACTTCTATTTGGCTCTGGAAACCTCAAAGTAAACAGCCCAGTGGCAGGGTCACATGTGTGTCCTTGTTCCTGCACTCACCACTTACTCAGTCCACACTGTCTGCCTCTGGGCTCAGCTCAGGTCTGGTCCTACAAGGTAAAAAAAAGGCAGGGCCACTTGGAGTGACTGAGCATTACTACTTTCTTTGAGAGTGGGTGGCCTAGGTCATTGGAATGTATATAAAGACTCAGGTTGAAGCTTGTTATTTTTACAGATAATTTGCTGTAGGAAAAGAATTCTGTTGCCTGTCATTGTACAGATAGGAACAAACCTTGTAAACAAAACACAGAAACATTAGTTAACTTTTCTATCAATATTTTTGACCCAAAAAATGAACCAATACAGAAGAAAAATAAGTGATCCATTAATAAGGCCAGGGTAGGTATTACACATTACCAAATATGTGACTACAGAGGCTAATCGTCGGTAACTTTTTCAATAGAAAGCCTGTCCTTTAAAATATGTACAAACCAGCCCTGGATGGTTTGGCTCAGCGGTTAGAGCATCGGCCTCCGGTCCCGAGAGACCCAGGTTCCGTTCCCGCTAAGGGCACGTACCTCAGTTGCAGTTTGTCCCCGGCCCTGGTTGCTCGTGCAGATGGCAGCCACTCGACGTGTCCTTTTCACATCGATGTTTCTCTCTCTCTCTGTTCCTCTCTCTCCCTCCCACTCTACCTGAACAAAAAATGGAAAAATGTCCTCAGGGTAGGATAAAAAATAAATAAATAAATAAATAAATAAATAAATAAATAAATAAATAAAAATTAAAAATTAAAAAAATAAAATATGTACAGCCTGCCCTGGTCAGTTTGGCTTAGAACGTTGGCCTGTGGACCAGAGGGTCCTGGGTTCAGTTCCCGCTAAGGGCATGTACCTTGGTTGCTGTTCGTCCCAGGCCCGGTTGGGGTGTTGCAGGTGGCAACCAGTTGATGTGTCTCTCTCACGTGGATGTTTCTCTCTCTCCCTCTTCCCCCCCCCCCCCACACTCTATCTGAAGATAAATACAAAAATGTCCTCGGGTGAGGATAAAAATAAATAAATAATAAGTACGGACGAGGTGGAACATCCTACATATTCCAAGTGCCAAAAATATTGTCTTCCAGGAGCTGGACAAGAGAGCGTGGGAGTGCCATGACCAGGCTTTGGTGGCATTAATAATTCAGAGAGGTGCCCTCTGCCTTCCTTCAGACAGACAGAATGGTCCACTTCAGTGCACACCCAGGTCGCAGAAAGGATGGGAGGATGAGGACTGGAGAGGAGGCTGCAAAACTGCCCACAATGGCTGCCTTTTTAAAAATATAAATTGTGTTTTCAGCAAACTCATCATCCCCTCGTAAAGATCTTAGATTCTTGACAGGGCAGACATGTACCCCTCCCCCACCAGTCCCTAAATCTTATCTCACTAGTATGTGTGAAAGTCCATTTCATTTTAAATCAGGAACCTGTATAATTAAACTTTGTGATTTAATCTTACCTCATAGAAGCATTAATAATAATTAAAAATTATTCTAATTAAAAATAAAAAATCTCCATGCACATTTTTGGTACATTGAAATGAGGTTAAAGATATTACAGGGAGGGGGTTGGGGGCCTAGGTGCAAAAGTCAAAGCAATTAAGAAGTACAAATTGGCAGTTACAAAATAATCATGAGGATCTAAAGCATAGCATAGGGAATAGAGTCAATACTATTGTGATAACTTTGTATGATGTCAGATGAGTACTAGAGGTATAGGGGTATCACTTTGTAAGTTATATAATGTTTAACCACTATGCTGTACACCTGAAACAAATATAATATTGAGTGTCAATTATAAATGGAAAGTTTAAAAAACACATTACAGATAATAATTCCAAGTTCGCCAAGAAGTAAGGTTAATTACTTACTTGATTGGATTTAGTTTGTCCAGTCATTGGGGTCGTGATCCTGATTGTGGGTGGAGACGGTGCCCCGAGGACTATAAAAAGCCAGAGCATCTGAGCTCAAACTCACTGCAGAGAGACCTGAAGGCCTGGAGCAGAGGAGGTGAGAGTGCAGACCTTCAGCACCTTCACGGAAAGGCCCTGCGCCCAGGTAACTCATCTTCCCATTTGCGCTATTTCTGCTGTCTCATTCCTCCTGGGCTAGACCCATCTTTCCAATGCCTTTACCTTTGCATTTCAGGAGAGAAAGAATCCATCTTATCCTGTGCCAGGGAACTTCATTCACTTTTCAGTCTAACACCACTATTTACATTTTTGCATAATAACTAGGTCATTTTTATACACAGGTGTATTTTACTGTGTTTTCAACTACAGTATATGGTTTTTAAATTGTTCCCTTTTATATTCAAACATTATTTCGTCAAGGATTTTCTGGGTTTTCACTTAATATACTTACCACTTTCATGGCTGTATTGTAATGAACTGAATACTTTCATTATTGCATAGTTGGATCATTTCGGATCATTTGGGATCATAGATAACACTGCACAGGAAAGTTTTTACAGCTGCACCAATTTTTTCTTCTGCAAAATTGTTTTCTTAGAAAACTTTCAAAGGTGAGTTAGGCAAGCACTTTTAGATTTCAAGCACCATTATGAATTTGCCTTTAAGAAGCTCGTTTTTCTTGTTTGTTTGTTTGTTTGTTTGTTTGTTTGTTTTTTAAATAGTGATAGGGGATTTACGGAAGAGAGTTATCTCTGTTGCCATTCAACCTAACCGCATCAAGAAATGGGAGGCTACGGGGGTGACATCCTGTCTATACTTCCCATCCACAGAGACTAGCTGAGGCTGGAAGCATGGAAGGCTAATAAGTATTTGTTGGATGCAGATGAATTCCAGGATGTTCTAGCAATCCAAGTTTTTGTCCTCAAAATTGATGCAATGATGGGCATATCATTCATTTTGCAGTGTTTTTGGCTAGTTTAATTCACGTACGGTAACTTTCTTTGAAATTTTGAGGGCTCCTTAGAGTCACTTTTCTGTGATAAGGAAAGTAGGATTAGCTTTATTTTTATGTTTGTATCTAAATGTGGAAATAATTTTTCTTGAACTGCAGGTGACCTCCAAATGCATACTGACTAGAGGCAGAGACTGCACCCTATATCCATCCCATTAAAGTCCCACTTGGACTCCGCTCCTGAGGACAAGACTTCACCTAGAAGTCTCCGGACAAGGTAAACTGCCCTACTTGAGAAGACAATGTCCGCTGCCCTATTACTCTATTGTCAGCACCTAGATTTGGGATAGTTTCATAGTTTTTCTCACACACTGTGCTTTTACTAAGATTCTCTGGTGACTTAGTGTCACTTTGCTGTATAAACTAGAGAGAGGTTCATCTTTTTTCTATTAGACTTAGGTGCATCCTGGTTCTTGCACAGCAGATACTGTATTGAGGCTGCTGACGGCTCCCAGAAGCGAATAAAGGGCCATTTCAGCTCAGTTTACTGCTGAGCAGAGACCTGGAGAAACCATGTGGACAAGTCTGCACCAGGAGGCACTCTGTCCGGTCTGTCTCGGACCTTGCTCCCTTCCCAGTAGTCTCTCCTGTGTGCATACCTTCTGCTATGACTGCACGCAGAGCTGGGTGCTGCAAAGGCCGGCTCTGAGATTGATCTGCCCCTTGCGTCGAGAAGTAACCACGAAGCCGCCTTTGGACGAACAGCGACTTAGATTCCTTTCTAGTCTCATTGAACAGCACGGCTTCCTCCTGGAGCAAAGTCTGCACATGAGAGGTGAATTCCTGATGTTCCGGGAGGACGTGACCCTGGATGCAGCCGCCGCAAACTCCCGCCTAGTGCTCTCTGACGACCGGAGGGAAGTCCACTGTGCAAAGTTCTGCCACCAGCCGAGGGAAGATCCCAGAGATTTGCCTCCACGGCCTGTGTCCTGGGCACCCCGTGCTTGTCCTCCGGTTGCCATTACTGGGAGGTGGACGTGGGAGAGAGGATGGAGTGGGCTCTGGGAGTCTGCAGGGAATCCGTTGACAGAGGGAGGAAGAGCGGGTTTTCCTCCGAGGTTTTGTGATGTTAGAAATGATGCCCTCATCTACATGCATCCTAATTTCTTTTTGGAATCTTTGCGTCCATCTTTCTGTCCTGAGTTGCCTGGAGAAGAGGACAGTAGTGCCCACTGAGCATCTGCTTGTGAGAAATTCACAGTGTTCGCTCTGCCACAGAATTCTTGGACCAAACCTGTTAAGTACCTATTCTAACCTGCCTCGATTGGGAGAACTGACCAACACTACGACTAGGTGGGGAAGGGGAACTCGAAAAGCCATGGAGACACAAGGGAAGAAAGATAAACGCTGTGCTGAGCTCCAGCCGAGGTGAGCAGAGCTGGAGCAAGTCATTCCTGCGCACCAGCGTCAGGGAGTGTGAGGGGGACAGAGGAGAACTCACAGTGACCCCAAAAGTCTCTCTTTGGGAGGGAGACTAATCCCCTCCCATGCTCACAGTTCTGGAATGTAGTTCATACGAGTGGCTATATTTGACCATAAAGGCCCAGGTGATGTAAGTGGGCCTCAGTCCCAGCTTCTAATAATAGGCACACGAGGAAACCTTTGAAAACTGCCTCAGGCGCTGGGCGGGTGTGGCTCAGTGGCTGAGTGTGGACCCATGCACCAAGTGGTCACCCATTCCGATTTTCGGTCAGGGCACATGCTCAGGTTGTGGGCCCAAAACTCCCACATCCAGAACCACACCCTGAACCAATCAAATTTGAATCTTGGAGATGGGTCACAGACAGCAGTAACTTTCCAAGTTTTCTAGGTGATTTCCATGTGCAGCCAGGATTAAGGATCACTGCACTAGAATGTTGATTTCAAAACGTTGCTGTGCATTAGAATCCCTGGATGAATTCACTAGGTCTGGAGTGGGGCCCAAGCATTTGCATTTGTAATACGTTCTCAAGTGATGCCGGTGGGGACCACACTTTGAAGCCAGTAAACTAAAAGACACAGTGTATTTTAATTTTAATCATTGTATTAAATCAATAAATGAATTCAAAATTTTGTTTTTATTTTAATTTTATTTAAATGTCTGCATTAAAACAAACAACCCCTGGAACAGTTGAAGAGAAGGGAGGGAAGAATGAGGGAGGATGAGTGGTCTTAGCTGGAATGAGTTCAATGTGTTAACAAAGCACAAGGCATTATGGGCATTCTTGTTTCTTATCCTAAACCACTTCCCCTCACTGATCACAAGATTTGCATCATCAATTCTGATGCCCTAATCATACCCAAAAGTATATTAGAATGATTGCTCACTATAATGACCCAAGTTCATGTTCTTAATATTTGGTTCTAGAATTTTCTGTAACTGAAAAGCCAGCATTGTTCTTTAGGAAGCATCTGGGAAAAAAGTGAAAATGTTTCTTAATGGTTACTGTCTTTGAACAACCCCTAAGTTTTGTCTTCGAGTTTGGTGAATGCTGATGACCCCCAGGATAGTCACCTTCATGCCCTGTGTCCTCAGTGCCCTGCTTCTGCTCTGGCCCTTGCTGGGAGGCAAAAGTGAGAGAGGGGAATGCCCTCTGGGCCTCTGACCACAGAACCCCTAGAGGACTATTTCCTGTCTACAGGCCAGAATTTCTGCCAGCATCCCCCTCCACCGTGTGGGAATTCTCCTAGATACTGAGTTGAGGAAAACGATGTTTGTGTGTGTTTGAAATTTTGGTGTTTTTTTGTTTTTGTTTTTTTAATATGTTTTTATTGATTTCAAAGAGAGAGGAAGAAGAAGGGGAAGAGAGAGAGAAACATAGCTCAGCTGCCTCCTGCAGGCTCCCTACTGGAGATTGAGATTGCTACCCAGGCCTGTGCCATGACCCAGAATTGAACCAGTCAGCTTTTGGTGCACAGGACGACGCTCAACCAAGAGATCCACAGCAGCCAGGGTGAAAATGACTTGTTTTAATATTTGTGACGGTTTCCTCAACTACATAGTTCAGCCAGAAGTCAACACTGAAACCCCATTGAGCATCGCACCTCTCTCTCTAGAACATAATGCTATGAGTGTAGTGGGCTTTTCATTTTTAAGATGACATGGGATGTGTGTGATGCATCCTAGAGCCAAATCTTGAATATTAGATATTGAGGTTTTGTGAAAATCTCATAACCATTCTAAATGAACTTGACCCCAGATCATGACCCCCAGCCCATAGCCATTGCTTTTGCCTTGGCCACCTCACTGCCCATCCAGAGAAACAGCTTCCTTTTCTTCCCAGGAAATTCAGAGAACTCAATCTGCAGAAAACTCAAATTCTTCCTTTTTATGTAGAGGAAATTAAGTCTCTTTGTCTCTACTTTCTTGAGAGGCAGAAGCTTCTTCAGTCAGTTGTTTCAAATAGTACCGCTCTATTTATCAATGTTCAAAGAGCTTAAATTATTTTTGTTTTCCAAATTTTCTTCCTTAATCATAAACTGAGGTAGACTGCTTTGATCAAGGTGTTTTGTGTTGGTGAAAGGGTGTTTCCATGGAGAGCAAGTGGGAGTGGCTGTCAGTGAGATGAGGGGAGGAGTGGCCAGGGAGGGAATCAGTGATGAGCAGGGGGTGCTGTGTGGGGAGTGCACCCGGGCTGGAAAAAGCAGGTAGACAGGTTACGTGGTCATTTAGTGGCTTACGTTGATTAATTGGAAGTTCTTTCTTAGCCCCATGTGAAAAACCAGACAAGAGACACTGAAAACGACAAAACTTAACAGTTATTCTTTATTTAAAAAAAAAAACTTAAAAAACAAGTACTATAGAAGGATATTTTTAAAATGTAAAATATTTATACAATGCTCTGGTTAACTTAGTATTCATGAATGAGACAAAAAATATTTCAAGTAATTGAAACATTGATTGAACATTTACTATTTGCCAGGTACTGAACTCATTGAGTACATGAATTCTTTCATTTAATCCTAACAAAAGTCAAGTGGATGTATAGTCTAATACCCTCATTTTAATAATCAGGAAACAGAAACAGAAAGCTTAAAAGCGAAAGGTTTAATTTGTTGCCTAATTATTAATCCCCCTTTCTCCATAAGGGGCATATAGACCAAAAATATAAAAATGAACATTGTATTTAAATGGTTGGGTTCAGAGACCACTAGTCTTAACTGACAGATGTGGGCACTGCAGAGGCATTTCCTTCCTCTCTCGCCCTTGGTCAGCATCTCTAACTGACGTGGCACTCACCCTTTCTAAGGCCTGACACAGAGCTCCAAGGGCCCACTAAAACTTAATTAAATGTAGCACTACGGATGCAAGCTTTTTGCTTCTGGATGCTATGCATCAGGATCAAGGAAAGGCTGCTTGCTGCGATCACTACTATCAAACATTATCCGAGTAAAGCTAAATAAATAAATTATAAGCATCATTGTGCTGAATGTTGCTTGTACCAGCTTGAGATCAATGATTGTGTCAAAGTTCTTCCCAAGTCTGATTTCTGTGACATGATGTTGGTAGCTTCAGTTGGCCATAGTGGAGGTATTTAAACTGGCAAACTGGGAAAATGCTACAATTAAGGCATTTTTTCTTCTCTTTTCCTTCTTATATTTTGTTTTCTGTTTTTGAGACCTGGGTGTTAAGCATAGCATCACAACAGGAATCTAGAAGCTAGTAACAAAGCTAACTATTTAAAAGGGGAGATAAAACCATCATTAGCTAGGGAGTATGTCATTTCATACATCGAAAACTTGGACAAAAATACTCTCAAAATTAACAAGATTTTAAAAAATCCAGAGCAGACTGCAGATCCAGCTTTTGGAGACAGGCCATGCCTCTTTTGGGATTGATTACATTGGCAAATAGTAAAACTTAGAACTGATAGGATCTATGATGACTTCCATCAGGTACAGGAGACTGATCAGTATGGAGGGAAGGAAAAGAGTCAGCAGTTAGGGTCAGTGGGAGCAGGAGATGGGAGGCAGAAATTCTGCTTTCAGACAGTAATCCTGCTGGTTTCAAGTTCCAGGCTCTGAAATGTCCAAGGTCCAGTGGCATCCAGGCTTCTTGGCCCTGCTTCTACCAAGAGACACTATGGTGTCTTCCTCTAAACTATAATCTTTGTCTAAGCCAGTTTATTTTGGGGTTTCTTTCATCTTGACTAAAACCAGATTATCTAATAATTTCTAAAGATTTTTAAATAAATCGGGGCCCCAACCTGCAATCAAACATGAGAACTTTCAATGCACAAGATGACGCTCCAACCAACTGAGCCACACCAGATTATCTTATTTATTCTTACAGTATCTATAAAGGAAAAACCTAGGGCTTCCTCCCTGCCCCCACACTCTCTTTTCAGAAACATTAATGCTTTGCAGGGGGGACTTTACCTTTTCTGGATCAATAAGGATCTTGTTACACCCTCAGTGCAAACTGCTTGTTTCCCAAGTTTCCTGGCACCCTATGTCAACATGTTACAGAAAGAGAGTTACTGACTTGTGGTTATAAATGTAATCAATGAAGTTGAGGAACAACACTTCGGTGTTAAATAAGGATAACCAGATATACCAATGGCAGAGGAAATTCATGTCATACACCTTTAGTCATCAATTTAGTCATTAATTAATAATATAAGCAGACAGCCAAACATCACCAGACATTTTTGAGGAAGATTAATATCTCGGAAAAGAAGAACCATGATAACCAGACCAAAAAACTGACCCTTGAAAGAATAGATGTAATTCAGAAAATACAAATAACAAAAAATTAGTACTCTCAGTTAAAATAACCTTTTAAATGTAAAGTTTCAACCATACATGCAAGATAGCACTTAATGAACCCAATGCACCTATCAGCCAAGCTCAATAATTATATAGATGTGGCCTCAAGATTATTTTGAAGAAATCCAAGACATTATCATTTCATATATATCTATCTATATATATATATATATATATATGCACACACACACACATACACTGTATGTATCTCTAAACTATAAGAACCCTTAAAAAATAAATATAATACCATTATTACACCTAAAAATATTTCTGCATGCTATCAAGTATTCAATGTTCACATTTTCTCAATTGTCTTATATACTGTTTTTTGTTTCTGTGTTTGAGTTGAGATCCAAATAAGGTCCAAACATTTTTATTGGCTAATACAGCTTTAAACAACACACCACCCTGCCACCCCCCATCCCCCA